GAGAGCCTGATTCCACCACGCTGCCTCATATATGTGAGGTGTGCTGACAAAATGAGCTACTTCTCGCAATCCACAAATGGAGATACTGGCAAACTATCAACACTATTAGAGTCAAATTTGTAGATTTTCTGTTGATACCATAGTCTTTAAGTATAACATGCCTTTTATTATCTAATACCTATAAATTGTTTTTAAAAAACTTCACTTAGAAGCATGATGTATCTATTTGCAAAGGGTTCAAATCAGAGAAGCAACTCATTTTGTCAGCACGCTTCAGATATCTTTTGTCAAACTAGGTGACCAATCAAAGATTTCAACACAAAAGTCTGAATATAAAAATCTAAAGAAACCATACCCATAATTAACAAACAACAAAAAATGCATTGCCAAATCTATATATATATATATATATATATATATATATATATATATATATATCTAAAACTACCAAAAACCTGCGTAAAAGTGTAGGGAAACGCTTGTCAAATTATCACAGTAACACAGAGAAGCAATAAACCATTTCGTTTTAGTAAGAGCTTGACAACACTTTCAACACAAATGAGTCACGGCATGGTGGAATCAGGCGCTCGTCAATTTTTGGGCATGTGAAGTTATCGGATTCATCTTAAAGCATGTTCATTTGTCTTGCTTTCGATGAAAGAGATACTATTTATCTTGAATAAAAGTTGAGATATTTGCAATTGAAGGAGGTGGGGGTCGCCTGATTTCAAAGGTAAAATTACTGAAAAAATGGCCGCCAAAGTTTGGTTATTTCATAAGAATTAGAGTCCATGGAAACGGAAATATTACATTTTTGAGCCTTTAATCAACGTTTTACAGTAAAATCTATACAGAAATGTGTTCTTAAATGGACTTAAAAGGTGATGAGCCAAAAAGCAAAAATTCGATAAAAATTGCTAAATCGGTGGGAAAATGTCAGTTTCTTCAACTTCATAATTTTGACGGGGGCCTGGTTTCACCATGTTGCCTCACATATAAAGATCACATAATTGCCGAAGATTAGAGGTGTGACTAACGAGTAACATACAAAGAAAAGAAGGAGGAAAGATAGTTTTAGTTTTAGTAAGAGTTTTACAGCACTTGCAAAAGAAAAATAGAGATCACATAAGTCCCCAAGATTAGAGGTGTTACTTGAGATTGAGAGTAATTTTTTTTTTTATAGTAGAGGGTTTTATGGTGCTCGCAACTGCATAAGGTCATATGAGCGCCAAGGGGTGGGTGTCAACAGAGAAGTCTTTACAGGGAATCAGACTTAGACTGCTCACCTCTCTAGCTTCAACAGCACAAGGTCTGCTTCGACTATCAAGGCACCCCAAAATAGCAGGTCACAAGAGAGTGACAAACATACAAAAAAAGTAGAGGAAAATGACAATAGTAAGGATCAGGAAAGCAAAAGCAGCAGTTCCCTGTTGCAGATCAGGCACAGTTATGAGCGCGACATGAGTCAGCCCATTTACAATTCTACTATGCTTGAACAAGATATGTCCCCCCTTTGGGAATGGCCTAAAGACACTTCAGTCAGTGGCGCTGCCTCGGGGGGTACTTGAGAGTAACATACAAAGAAAAAAAGGAGGTGCGATAAGGACGACAGATGTTTTTGTAGAAAAAAAGGAGCAAACCACACCAGAGAACCTGCCAAACACCAACAGAGCAAGAAAAAACATTTTAGAAAAAGTATCTTCTAAATAATGCCATATCATTTAGGGGTCACTTTGAAAGCTTCATGGATCTGGGTAAGGTAGGCAGGACAGAAAGCAAAGAAGTTACGACAATAAATGACTAGAGAGTCAGCAGGAGCCAAATAGAAAACGAGACAATTACCCAAAATAACACTGACATATAGCTGTCCCCGGGGTTTTAAGCATCCCGCATAATTTAGCAAATTTTAACATCTTTTGGCATAATTTCTGATTATTTTCCTTTATCATTCTTTGTTAAAATTGACAGAACAGAATCGCATAATTTTACATTTTTGGGCTCAGTTCGCATAATTTCAGAATTTTATTTTTTCATAAAACCACGGGGACAGACATGGTTGAGAAAGCTTCAGGAACTTTGCTCTGGAAGACTAGATCTAGATAAAATAAAAGCAACCCGATATACATAGGGTCAAACGACAGGTTGGTGAAGCTTGGCAAACCCCCCCCCGAAAAATGCTTGAATTATCATTAAAGTAAATGTTATACTTATACGTTAGCTTTCCTAAAAATTATAATATGGCACTTGCAACAGAAATATGTCAAACAGAGTGCCAAAGATTAGATCTGTTACTAGAAAGTAACATGCAAAAAATAAAAGGAGGAGCGATACATTTAGTTTTAGTTAGAGTTTTACAGTACTTGCACCACAATAAGGTCATATATAAGTGTTGAAGATTACAGGTATTACTAGAGAGCACCATACAAAGAAAAGAAGGAGGAGAGATAAGGATGATAAGATGTTTGATAGGAAAGAATCAGCAAACCACACCAGAGCACCTGCCAACAAACCCAACCACTGATTCTGGAGACTACAAACACACTATGCAATAAGCACTGGCAATAATGAATTCCTGAAATAATGTAACATAATTCAATAAAATGCACATACAGATATAAAGAAATGACTTTTCACTACTACCTGATACTGCATCACAACTAAAAGACTTCTCTGTTGTAGTTTATGCTAAAAGTTTTACGGCACTTGCAACACAGCTCATTTATATAAGTGCCCAAGGTTTGAGGCGTACAAGAGAGTAACAACAAACACAAAAAAGAAGGAGAGGAGAGATAAGGATAATAGATGTTTGATAGGAAAGAAGGAGCAAAACACACCAGAGCACCCTCCAACCAACCATTCATTAAGGGACTTCATATCAAATACATACATGTATAT